CGGCTTAGAAGAAGAATTGCGTCGCGAATGGCAAATCATTGCCGTGAGATTTCTTTCTTTTTCGTGAAACATTAAAATCAGATGTTAGACAGGAGCGGGATTTGGGATTTGTGGTTGCAAAGGGACAGTTAGCAGAGGTTCAGTGACTCATTAATGAAACTTGAGATTTGTCAAAATCAAAAGGGCAAGGCACTGAGATGGCAAGTAGTAATTTTACACAAAAAGAGTAAGCCGAGCTCATGATTTAGAAGCGAGAATATTTGATTCAAGATTCTGGTGTAATTTAAGAGCATCTGAGCGCCTTTCTATAAGATGAAGTGCTCAGGAATTCAACTTGAAATTTTTTCAAATTCCAATTTTTTTCCTTTAGATCTCCAACAATTCGACCCCCAAATTATTGAACAGTCAGAACATAAATTTACAGCCTATTATACAACTTTAAATCAGGTGACTTCGAAATAGTCTTGCTAGTGGTATTCCAAATTAGAAGCGCTTGAAAATTGTAAGAATGATCTATCTTCAAGATCTATAAAGAGTAGCCTTGACGAATTGGTGCTTTATACCGCTAAGCAACCTCCGAATATGCATTAACGCATCATTCTTCAACTTTTTCTATGGACACTCATTTCCATGAAGCCATGTAGACTCGAAAAAGTCGATTATAAGTAATCCCGAATAAATGACCTTGGTTGAAAAACAAGTTTAGCAGTGAGATGACAATTCCGAATAATTAAAGCAGAATTCGAAATGAATGGTAGACTACAAAAATTATTTGAGAAAATTCCTGCTACATTTGCGAAGTTGGTGTACATCAAGTGTACCGAGTGCATTAGCATGTGCTGCAAAAGTTTTTTTGCTGATCCCTAGAAAAGCCCGAAGTTGAGCAGAACCTCCTTGTAGATTCAAAATTTTCTCACAGAGATTTGTTTTCTTTGACATGGCGGAGAACATAAGTAAGATGACGAAAGGTGCAGAAGTCCTCAGTAGCATCAACAATAGAAATAATGTATCAAAAACAAAACTCATATGACAGCTTCTAGTCCCCAAATCATTCCCAAAGTGATCGTTTGGCTTTTACTCGTGAGCAAAAATGTATAAAATAGTGCTAAATCCAGTTACCACTATTTCTTCTCTTGTACCTTCTCCTGCACGTGGACAAAAATCTGTCAAAATCATGCTTGCACTATTAATTCGCAAGAAAGTCCTTGTGATCGAGATAACAAATTGTACTTTCTATTACTTAGAAGTGGATGGAAATCTCCGTGTATATCATTTTGGGAAAGAAATCAAAAGCATTTTGAAAAAAAAAACTTCATAAATAAAGGGTAAAATCTCGCATTCCGGAACAAAAAAAAAATCGTCAAATTTACATTCACAGAAATGTTTTACTCTGACATAGCCTACAAAATACGACTTTCAAGACTTTTTTGAATTTTAGCGCCAAACTGATACCTTGATGATTTTTATGCGAGAGAAAACGGATGGAAACAACGACACCTCCGAAAATTATGTGGCTCCGGATGCATAGATTAATATGTAATTATGGGAAACGACATGAAAGAGCAATGCATTTAGAACTTTGCACTCATTTCGCAAAAAAAATATTATTGTGCAATAAATCGATAATTTA